TCTATTTTTTTTTTTCCTCTGATGGTTGCAAAGATCTGTAGAGGTAAGTTTTTTTTTTTTTTTTTTTTTTGGACTGATATTAGTGATTTGTGCCTTCTCACTTTGTCAGTCTTTCTAGAGATTTTTCAGTTTTTTAAAAATTCAGCTCTTTGTTTCACTGATTTTTCCGTTACTGATTTCTGATCTTATTTTTATTACTCTCTTTTTTTGGGTTCATTTTGCTCTTCTTTTTCTGTTCCTAAAGTAAGAATTTAGATTTTTATTTTTTAAAGATTTTATTTATATGACAGAGAATACAAGCAGGTAGAGCTGGAGGCAGAGGGAGAGGGAGAAGCAGGGTCCTTGCAGAGCAGAGTGTCCAATATATGAGGCTCCATCCCAGGACGCTGGTATCATGACTTGAGCCAGCGGCACTTAATCAACTGAGCCACCCACACACCCCAAGAACTTAGATTTTTAAATTGAGATCTTTGTTCTTTCCTAACATAAGGATTTATTGTTATAAGTTTCCCTCTCAGCACTGCTTTAACTGAATCCTACATTTGACATACTTTCGTTCTCATTTATTTGTATATTTTTGTTTCTTTTGAAACATTCTTATTAACACATAGGTTATTTACAAGCATGTTGTTTAATTTCTAAGTGGTTTGAAGATTTTCCTGCTATATTTTTGTTATTGATTTCTACTTTTATTTCATTTTAGTCCTACATGCATTATGTATTATTTCAATTCTTTTATTAAATATTTAAATTTGTTGAGATTTCTTTTGTTTTGTTGTTGTTTGACCCAGCCTATGTATACTGCAATGAATGTGTCTTTTCTTTATTCTATTTAAGATTTATATATTTATTTGAGAGAGAGTAATAAGCACACACATGCACAGGTTGGGGAGGGGGCAAAGGATGAGACACAAGCTGACTCCACACTGAGTATGGATCCTAACCTGGGGCTCAGTCCCACAACCCCTGAGATCATGACCTGAGTGGAAGCCAAGAGTCAATGCTTAACCAACTGAGGCACCCAGGAACTCCTCCAGTGATGGTTTCATGGGTGCTTGAAAAATATTTGTATTTTGCTTTCTAAGGTAGAATGTTCTGTAAATGTCCATTAGATCTTATTGGTTGATGGCATTATTCAGGTCTTTTATATCTTTGCTAATTTTTTTTGTTACTTCTACCCGTTGCTGAGAGTGAGGTATTGAAATCCCCAGTTCTGTGTGGTTTTATCTCTCTTTTTTTAGCTTTATCAGTTTTTGCATTACATATTTTGAAGCTTTCTTGTTAGTGCATATACATTTAGGGATCACCATGTTTTTTTCTTGGTGAATTGATCATTTATTATGTAGCATTCTTCTTGATCTCTGATAATTTTTTTTTGCCCTGAAGTCTATCCAATATTAATATAGTCACTTTTTTTAATGTTTGCATGATACATCTTTTTCCATCCTTTTATTTTCATCTCTCTGTTTCATCTTGTTTGAAGTCAGTTTCTTGCAGGCAGCATATACTTGAATCCAATATATGAATCTCTGTCTTTAAGCTGATGGATTTAGACCATTTATACTTAAAGTGATTATTGACATCTCAGGACTTAAGGGTTCAGACTTTTTTTTTCTTGGAATTCATTATATATCTTTAATAATTCAGCAATAACCACAAAACAGAAGTCAAATTCCTTCTGTCATTCCTTCCTTCTTCTCTTCCTTCCATCCATCCTTCCAGAGCTTCTCATAACATGAAAACTAGGTCCTGAGAGAAGGATTTCCCAGAAGTAAGTATTTCAGGAGGCCCATGTGGAAGCTGTAAGACTTCTTAAGACTTAGCCTCAGGTATTAAGTTCTATAAAGCCACTTCTACCACGTTCTATTGGTCATTGGCCCAACCCAAATGTAGTGTGGGAGGTGACTGCACAAGAGCAGGATCATTGGAGGCCTTAGAGCATGGTTACCACTATCACTCTTCCATATGCTACAGTTGATATCAAAGCCATGGCCTATAACTCAGATCCTATCAACTAGTTAGTCATTCTGACTCAACTTTATTTGTAAATTGAGGAGGCTGCACTAGATGACCACTTAGGTCCCTTCTGACTCTGTGATTCTTCATTTGTTTTTGTTTTTTTTAATATTTATTTATTCATGAGAGACAGAGAGAGAGAGAGAGAGAGAGAGAGGCAGAGACATAGAGAAGCAGACTCTTCACAGGGAGCCTGATATGGGACTCAGTCTCCAGACTGGGATCACAACCCAGGAAGCTAAAGGCAGGAGCTCAACCTCTGAGCCACCCAGGCGTCCCTTCATACGGAATTCTTAACATGTTTAATAGCATATTACAATTTTACCTATGCGTAAAAGGAGACTTAACCATTATTATAGTAATCTCTGAACTACTATAAAATTCAGTTTGGCAAACTAATGCAGTTACCATTGATTCTAGAGGCAGCCAGTATCCAATATTAGAATGCCTAGAGATTATTTTAGGTACTAATCAGCTTTGATTGAATGGATCATTAAAGAAGCTAGAAATCTTATCTCAATTGAGCAATAGCAAAACAACTTGACATTGGCCAGATTATTTCACGGAACTCTTCTTTCTGAAAAATGAAAAAAAGCCCAATTGGGGCTATTCCCTTCCAACTTATATACATTTAATTATAAAGAAATTGATCAGATTTTAGTTTAGTAATTATTCATAGTTAAAATCTGAATCTTGCTAAGCTTTCCCCAAACTTCTGTTTTACCTGAATAACCACCTCCCCCCATCATTAACTTGTTTTAAAAACAGTAAGACATGAGTAAGACCACATTCTTATATGTTACCTAAGATTCCTTGTATTTCCCAATCTATGCCAAGATCCTAACTTAAACTCAGTTTTATCATAGTCAGCATTAGAATAAACTAAGAGTTTATTCAGGTATTTTAAAAAGAGGCCCCATTCATTTGAGTGACTCCTTCCCGAGGGGAACACTTTGAAAGATAATAGTCATTTAGTTTAGTTCAGGTATTTTGAGGGGTTTCTTTACTATATATAATCTTAACACCTTATATATGATCTCTTAAAATTATTCTTGACAGTTGTAATTCATTGATACAAGGTAAAATATATGATTTATGGCCTTGATAAAGATGTGGTTTATGGATTCCACATCATAGGCATCAATGTACTGTATACCTTTGGCTCCCAGTGGCATAATCGTCTTGAAGCTGTTGTCAAGTGTTTATTTTCATGTATATGCTTCTATGCTGGAATGGAGGATAGAAACCTTTTATTCATTTTGTATCCCCTGTACCTGGCATCCTAGATACACAGTAAGATTATTGAATGAATTGGGGTTGATATACGGGAGAGACTGATCTTTGGCCCTAGTTACATCATAGTCCTGTTTTGATAGATTAAATGAGGATTATTGTTCCATAATAAAGGATAGAATAATAATGAATAGAAGTTATTTTGGGCATTATTGCTTTAAGTTCATTTCATTGACAATACTAAAGCTTTCAAAAAACTTTTTACACGTATACATTTTGACTTAGCGAGCTTTTGATCTTAACCCTTTATATTCATTTCATCTTGTTTAATTCCTAGAAGCTATTCTCAAGGGAGGTTCATAAGGAAGAAATATGAATCATGTATCCAATGAAATGTGCCTATCACTGATTTTTCACAATTATTCGGACTAATCAGATACATAAAAAAAATTTAGTTGCAGTGATTAAATATCTAGATATAATATGATTAGCAGTGAGCGAAGTCACATGATCCTGTGTCTAAAGTTTTCAACCAGTGTTTGTTAGTGAAAGAGGTTTTCACCTGAGAAAATAGATATGGCTAGAGAGCATCCTTCTATATTATGATTCTGATTTTTGTTTATAGTGTGAGCTGTGACAAAACTATTAGGGAAAGGAAGAAGGTACTGGGACTTACTAAAGTTCCTAATAAAATATGATTACCATTAAGTTACGTCTTTCCTTTTTGTTTTATATGAGCTAGGTAATAAAGCTTATTAGTAAAAGTTTGGGATTTGTACCCATTTAACCAAAGGTATTTGACCAAACACTGTTTTTGGAGATAAATGTTTAAATGATCTTTGTGTCTCTGAAAATAGTTTAAGGAGATAAAGCTTCCTACCACCTTAGAAAAAAGACTTATTTGAGGGACTTCTGGCACTAATTTATTTACCCTCCTACTGATTGGGTTCTCAGTGATAGATTTGATATTTTATAGTTCAGCTTTGAATGATGTATGTTAAGTCCAGAAATACCCTCCAGAATAAATATTCTTGTGTTTAATTCTGTTGTGTCTGTCTTCAGGAGGAATAGGCAGGGTTCAGATTCAGAGGGGTGCCAGGTTGGTAATTTGACTCAAACTGCATGGGGAGAATAATCTCTCTCCTAAAATGAAGCACAAGGATAAGTAATAACTTTTTATGCATGATAAGCATCAAAAATATGAACCTGCTGGTCTTTGCTTTTCATTTTTCTTTACCTCTGTCTTTCAGTGAGAACCTCCTGCAGTGTGCACACGATGTGATCAATAACTCAATAACTTTTTTCATGCAGTAATTATCTCCATGTGATATTATCTGAACACTGTTTTTCTTTATTACTCAGAAGATGCAGGAGATATTTATATAACCAGCTGATCCCATTTTGGATAAAGGTGCTTTGTGACAGCAGGAAAAATAGGTTATTTTAAATAGCCTTTTTAAATAAATGCTCTATGAAAAGCTTTTCCAGTTAATTTTCACTTAGCATGAGAAGGTGATTACCAAATGATCTAAAACTTGTACTTTTGAATATTTTATGGTGTGATAGTCATTCTGCCTAACTTCTAATAATCACAATTTAACATAGTAAACTATTTTTTAAAAATATTGAACTATTTAACATACCCACAATTTTTTCTGATTCTTTTAAATCATATTAGATATTTACAGAGTTGTGAGCTAAACACATAAGTTCTACTATCTCTGCTTGTCTCACAGAGATTTTCATTATAGGCAGAGATACTGCAGGAGTCCCGGATGATGATCCCAGATTGCCAGCGCAGGTTGGAAGCTGCATATACTGATCTTCTGCAGTTATTAGTAAGTAAATACTTTTCTGTCTTTTGTTTAAAATTTTTTTCAGTCTAATACATGGAAGGCCAAAATCTTAAGTATTCAACACTATAAACTATGTTAGAGGCATACTTTGTTCACTTGCCCTGTGTACCAGATATTTTATTTTATTTTATTTTATTTTATTTTATTTTATTTTATTTTTTTATTTTATTTTATTTTATTTTATTTTTAATTTTTATTTATTTATGATAGTCACAGAGAGAGAGAGAGAGAGAGAGAGAGAGAGGCAGAGACACAGGCAGAGGGAAAAGCAGGCTCCATGCACTGGGAGCTCGACATGGGATTCGATCCCAGGTCTCCAGGATCGCGCCCTGGGCCAAAGGCAGGCGCCAAACCGCTGCGCCACCCAGGGATCCCGATATATTAAAATAATTAATAGAGATTAAATTGTGTTTTAAGTTATGCCTCCAGTAGAAGTATTATATATAGCATGTTTATTATATTTATTTAAACTTAGTTAATTAAATATATTTGAGTTACTATTGTAGATATTCAGAGCACTAACATTGTCCAGCAATATCTTGAAATATTTAGTGTTCATACATAAAGATCTTTTTTTTGGTACATTAAAGATAAGTAGACTATTCAAAATTTTAAAAGATCCAAATGTTTCGAAATTAGAGTCCAACATTAATCATTTTGAGAGGGAAAAAAAAAACTTGTAATATAAGCAGTCTTTTCATATTAACTTATAGCTGGATAACAGTGTTATCATACCTGCTAATAATATAAATGCCTTGTGATACAGTGACAGACTCATTTTATAAAAGATTTTTTTTTAATTTTTATTTATTTATGATAGTCACAGAGAGAGAGAGAGAGAGAGAGAGAGAGGCAGAGACACAGGCAGAGGGAGAAGCAGACTCCATGCACCGGGAGCCCGATGTGGGATTCGATCCCGGGTCTCCAGGATCATGCCCTGGGCCAAAGGCAGGCGCCAAACTGCTGCGCCACCCAGGGAATCCCATAAGATTCTAAGAATAATTAAAAGTAGTCTTACTTCTTTCATAGTGGAAATAACTGCATAATACTATATCCGAGCCAGTTGTTACTGCTGTTTGATGATGATTTGATGAATTCTAACATTTCCTTTACTAATCTCATTTCATGCATCTGTTTTGAACTAATATTAACTAGCTACATAGCTGTCTTGTGATTCATAGTTGTGCCTTATATAACAAAAATATTGTGAGCCTTTCTCAGGATGATCATATGTATTCTTTGAAAAAGAATGACATTTGTTTTCCCACAAAAATAATATGAGGACTAAATCTGTAAGAAAGGAAAAAGAGAAATGTTTAACATTTACTTTAATTGGACACAGAACTCCATACTTATCTATAGGAACCTTTTATTTTATTTTTTAAGATTTTATTTATTCATTCATGAGACACAGAGAGAGGCAGAGACACAGGCAGAGGGAGAAGCAGGCTCCCTGCAGGGAGCCCAACACGGGACCAGATCCCAGGTCACCAGGATCACACCCCGGGCTACAGGAGGCGCTAAACCACTGCGCCACCCACTGCGCCACCTGGGCTGCCCTATAGGAACCTTTTAAAGTCAAGATAACTCTCCTTCTTAACAGCCAAAAATAAAGCTGTGGTTTTGAAATAAAATATAGATGAAAGAAGGAAATAATTACGGCATTAAAATATTCCCTGAGACAAAAGCACCATTTATTTTTCCTGACAATTTAAATGCTTTTTTTCTCTCATGAATCTAGTAGTTGAAAAAGTAATAGAAATTGCTTGAAAAAAATAATACTGTCTTTGGATTATATATTTTGTGTGTAAGGATGTATTCAACAATATTTCTACCCTCAAAGAGCTTATATTTACTAACAAAGACATAATATAGAGGTTTAAGAAATTTTTGCCTATAATCTAAGTTAAGCAAATTCTTACTCCTTTTGCTTTAAATTTTCATATTAAATAAATACACATACCTTATTCCCTCTGCTCTGTAACTTAGATGGTATTATTTCATTTATCCCTTAGCATAATAGTAAGACCTTTATGTATGAAAAAGCAAGGAAAAACTCAGTCTTTAAATGTCAAAAAATTTTTAGTATTTTGTTTCCTTGTAGTACAGTACATAATATTAATAAGCAGACAGTCATTTTTCTAATTCAAAGATTATACTTCTCTCTGGTGTGACACCACTAGCCTTCTTTGTCATTTTGGGTAGTTGGAGGATTATGTTGGTCTGAATGTTGTTATATATGTAACATTTTAGTAAAGCATCATTTTTTATTTTCAGCCCATTAATAATACTTTTTGATTGGTGACATATTGACAGAATGAGAATAAATGTTTTTTGAGGTTTTTATGTAGTTATTTAATGCCAATAGCTTTAGATGACCCTGTTTTTCACTTACTCTGTGAGAATGCTATACAGTGAAACAACAAAACCTGTTATTTCTTCTTTTAACTGTAAAGAAAGAACAGAAATATGGGAAATCTGTGAAATTACATAATACTTAGATGAGGTTTGGAATCCTTTTTGAGCTGTGTATTTTTTTGATGGTTTGTAATAATCTGAGTAAAAAAGCACTGAAGTTTGAGAAGGATAAATCTAATTTTTATTATATTTCATTTCAGGAGAGTGAAAAAGACTTGGAAGAAGCTGAGGAATATAAGGAAGCACGTTTAGTATTGGATTCAGTGAAGTTAGAAGCCTGAAGTTTTGCCGTGCAGGGTGTTTTTTCATTAAATCCTGAGATCCATTCCACAATTCATTATTTTTGACCACTGCTCTATGTTCAAGTAGTATAAGAATGTGATTCTTTTTATGCAGTTGCGTATATTTTTCTTTGCCTAATTTAATGTGTCAAATAAATGAGTTCGTCTAATAAAATTGTTTATTTCATACTTTATAAAATATTTTATATTAACTTTTTATCATTAAATCATAGACATTTTTGACAGAATTTAAATCTGTTAGGTTCTCTTTGAAATCTAGATATTTTGATTCCTAACTGTAGATTGAATTAAAAATATGATACCTTTATTTTTTAGGTAAAAATCCAAATTTTGAAGTTTATTCTGAAACAACTCCTTCAAAAGAAAGGAAGAACGTCTCTTGAGATAAGACCTCACATATTTATCCCTTCACAGTGAAAGTCTAGCATTTCCATTACTGTTAATTAATGGAGACATTTAAATCTTTTTGCAGAAAGATTTATATGAAAAACACCAACGATTTAGATCTTCAAATAAGATTCTTATGAACAAAGTATTCAATTGTATTTTAAAGGAATAATAATAGTATACTGGGAAATATTTAACAGGTCTTCAAAATGGAAAGGGAACCTCTTACTTCTGGGGTATAAATACCCCCGCTGTGACGGATTTCAAGCTGCTACCATGACATCACTGAACACAAGGCTGGGAAGATAAGAGCCAGCTCCAGCATACACCATAGCCAAACCTGGATTTTGATTGACTGGAAAAGATCTCGTTTTATCACAAAGTGTTTTTCTAGTACAGTTGTAAACCAATTAATTACCTAATCATTTGAGTTTATTTTCTAAAATGCATGTCAACTCCTTTAGTTTTCTTCTATTTCTTGAAAATGTTGTGAGCCTTATATCACCAGCCTACCATGAGCAGCAATGGAATGAACTAAAATACTAATAATAGCTTTTAAGCTTTAAAACTCATTGAAAAAATAACAAAATCGAAATTTTTTCCTATTACATAAGATACATATGTATATGTGTAAGGTAATTTGCCTGATTTTGGAAGTCGCTAATGATGACTAGAAACCATAACACTTAGTGAATCTGTCAAAAAGATCAGAGAAGAGAAAAATAATATATTCTTACCTGCTATTATTTCTAAAGGGTACTCTGTTTTAAAGAATAGAATCCATCATTTTTTAAATCTTTATACAAGCAGAACATTACTTCATCAGAGAATAACATTAGAAGCACTTCTACATTGAAATGTCATTATCTTAAAACACATTACATGCCATTTTTAAAGTATATGAGGTGGGGAGGGGAAGAGTGAGGAAATAACATAATTACAATGTGAAACTTTATACTACAGCTTGCTTAATATTAAGGATTTGAGTAGCAGGAGAATTAAAATTTATGTTGTGGTTGGATTAAACAACAGAATAGGTTGGCTTCTTCGGGGGTAAGGGAGCGCAGTTTAGTTTTCCAAGTAAGGTATCATTTAAAGAAAGTTACCATTTTTTTAAAATGTAAAAAATCTCATTTCAACTTTTTGCCAAATACATAAATATCATGTATATTCAAAGCAAAAAATATTGGTTCCCCCAGAAAAAAAGTAAATCTGAAAGGGAAAATTTACATCCAGAATCCAAATCTTGGTTGCTGAAAAAATTATTTTCTTGTCCGAAAGCCTAAGGAAAGAAGGAATTAACAAGGTAGATGAAAGTAATACATTTTTAGAGAATTTCTATCTCAATTATAGATTTCATACTGGATCTCTCTCCAGACATTGATGAGAAGCAGCAAGAAGCTTAAGATTCTGTGAAGGGGCTTATTCCTGAAAGTTTTTGACACATTCCACTTATGTTTTCATGGCCATCAAAATGCATAGTAACAGTTGTAATTCATCAACTTGTTTTTAAGCTTTTAGTTGAAACCTTGCATCTGTAGGATAATAGGTAGAAATTCCCAAAAGTAATGTTATGTTGCCTTTTACTCTCCAATATCTGATCCCCAACCTACATATAGCAGTTGCTCAGTAGACATTTGTAGAATAAGTGAAAAGTAAGAGGTAAAAACCTCTGGAGTGAGAGAAAGAATGCTACGAAGGATATCATCACATCACATACTTAATACAGTGCTTTTCAAACTATTTTTACTGCCAACCTCAAGAAGAAATTTTCTGTTGTGACCCAGTACATATTTATGGAGGTCTATATACACATAAAGAATAGACATCTTCAATATGTACAATTTCTCAGTTGTTTTCTATTTTGTTAATGATTATGACCACCTGCTATTGGGTTGTGAATAACACTACCCTAATACAATAATATAAAATGATTCTAAGAATTGTCTCTTTGTCTCTCTTTTTCCCTATAGTCTACAACATATATAAACTTAGGTCTCAGAACAGTTGTTTGTGTGAATATGTGCAGTTATACACATTGCAGATGTAAAGTGTCATTGTAACATGTTATTTTAAGATTTGTTAGGTGCCCTTAGTCTTGCACAGACTGATAATGGCTTTCACCAAGTAAATAGGAAGACAAGGGACAGAATCAAGCAGTAAACCTAACTTTTCCATATTTTTCTGCATAGCAAAGGGCACATAATTTCTAAGTAACTAAGAATGTGCATAGGATAAAGAAGTAGAAACAACACATGGAATGAGTTAAAGTAACCAAATCCAATGCCATTAAGAGCATTTCCAAGTTCTAACATTTTCACTTAGACATTATTGGCTAATGAAGATTCAGTACTAAATGAGAGTACTCCCCCAAAGTCCTCGACAGGAGCTTTGTGGCTGGGCTTTTGGGACATTTACATTTTGGATGAATGTTAACATTTCAAGAACTAGGCTGTCCTTTCATATTTTTACCATATCCTATTTTGTACTGTATTTTGTGCCATAAGTTATGTGAACAGTTCCTTGGGAAGGAATGGAACTTGTGACAAGGTAAAAAAAAAAAAAAGCTAAAATAAGCATGTATTTATTCTATGAGGCATGAAAATGAAAACTGACTAAAGAATATATTTTAATGTTCATTTAACATTTCTTGACTTTCTGGTCAGGAACATTCAAAGCCCAATATTTAAAAATCGTCTCTGCCTATACCTGTGCACTGAATCACTTCCAAATTGAGCAGTCAAACCTGGTTAATCTAAATTACTTTGCAAACTTCATTACATTACTTGGCTTTTTAAAAATCCTATCAAATTTAATAAGGACATCTCCTACAGCTGGTTATCACTTAAATCTTATTATTTGGTCATTTAGATAAACCAAGGACAGATTAATCCTTTCTTTGCAAGTTAGGGCCTTTAAATGTCAGTGTAAACTTGACATGTATATGAGCAAGAGCTGTGAAGCATTGGCATTAAAGGGTTAATCAGATAATTTAGTCCTTGAGACTCTTTTGAGTGCTTTTAGCTGGAAAGAAATTGAATGGTTGAGAAATGGTGCACTATGAAACAAGTTATAAGTATTAGTGTACTTGAAATTTTCAAGAGTGCTTCATAAAAATGTATATTGCACTCCACTGTTCATCTTATTGCTCTTATAATAAGAGAGGCATTTGTTCATATTGGACTATTGCACTGAAGGTATAATTAATTTATGAGACAGTAGATCAAAACCTTATATTTTTTCCTGCCTTCTGTTGACTTCTGGGTAGTTGACAAGGTTCCTTTAAAGTCTTGAGAGGGAAAAAAAAAGTCTTGAGAGGAGTATATGTCATAAGAGGTTAATATTTTTAATGCCCAAAAAGCTCTTTGAAATTAATTTTAAAAATCCCCAGTATAAAAAAATAAAAGATAGAAGCACACAATTCATAAAAGAAGTACAAATGAATAGGTTTTTCAAAAATGTTTTACTCCAGTAATAAATGCAAATTTTAAAAATAAGGTAAATTTTTAAAAAAATGAATACCGGTTGGCTCAATGTGATAAAGTATTGGTTAATGAGACTAGATAAAAGGATGAAATGGGAAATAGTGAAAAAGATGCATTGTTTTCACTATGCAGTTGGTAAGATCCAGGTAAACACAAGTCATCTGCAAAATAATAGGAATAAGGTAATTAATATATAGTATAGAGAATTATAAGGGATTTATAATTATAACGGATTTAAAATTAATATATAGAATTATAATGGATCGAATAATGTCTCTCAAAAAGATACGTTGAAATCCTAACCCCCAGTACTCAGAATGTGACCTTTTTTAGAAATAGGGTCCTTGCTTTATATAATTATTTAAGGTGAGGTCATACTAGAATAAGACCCTTAATCTATGACTAGTGTTCTAAAACAATGTGAAGACACAGAAGGCCATATGACAAAATAGAGATTGGAATTACACAAGCCAAGAAACATAAGAGTGACACTAGAAACTAGAAGAAAGGCATGGAACAAATTGTCTCTTAGATTTCAGACTTCTAGCCTTCAGAACTGTGATACAGTAAATTTCTGTTGTTTAAGCCACTTGGTTTGTGATACTTTGTTAGAGCAGTCCTAAAAATCTACTACATAGAACCCAAGCTTTTCTATATGCCAGTAATAACCAAATATATGGAAAAATACATCCCTACTGAGTCATAGAAGACAACATTTAAAAAAATTTGTACTATATATGGAAAATTAATGTCAAACGTGGCTTCTTTTTATGTCAATCTATAAATTCAGTGAAATACAACAGGATTGGGTGGAGAAGGAGAATTTTAGGAAATGATTATAAAATCCAATTAGATGGGGATATGAAAAAAAGAATCGTAATCAGGGAAAACTACTTTTGCTCACTAATAAACTGTCAAATTGCAATAATTGGACACAGGGCAAAAGAATAGAAGATCAAAGAATAGAATTCAGGAGTGAACTCCAATATATACTTAAGGGAATTTAATATATGATAAAGGATATTTCAGATCCTTGGGAGAAAGAGATTATTTACTAAGTCATTGGGATAACTGGCTAATCATGGGTGGTGGGGATAAAGATGGATCTCTTTCATCTCTCACACCAAAATGAATTTTAACTAAGTCAACATATTGATATGAAAACGAAAAAAAAAATTGAGAGAAGAAAACATTAGCAAAACTAATAGATTAATGAATTTTAAATTGATACTGTGCAGTGAAGGTATAAGGAAATAGGAAACCTAATGCACTTAGTGAAAATATTTTAAAGATGAAAATTCCCTATGAATTAATACATAAATGTAATAGCATAATTATTAAAATTATACATAGGAAAAATAGACTATCCAATGAAATCTTGAAAACGGAGAATTAGGAAAAGAGGATATATGGAGGAAATAGTGCGGTTGGATATTGAAACTTAAAATTGAATTTAAAACACTGAAACTGGCATAAGATCAAGTTTAGTGGAGTAGACTAGAAAACCCAAACAAGCCCCAAGTATATTTAAATACACAAGTACCTGATAGAGGTAAAGGGTGGATAATAAACGGAATTAGGAAAGTCAGTTACCCATTGAGAAAAACACATTTCTATCTCGTCCCACACAACACAACAACACTTAAATGGATTAAAGAATTACAATTGACCCTTGAAAAATACAGGTCTGAACAGTGTGAACCCACTTAGACACAATTTTTAAAATAATACAGTACAAGTACTATAAGTGTGTTTTCCTTATGATTTTCATGTTTTATTTTCTCTAGCTTACATGATTGTAAGAATATAGCAAATAATACATAAAATACACAAAATATGTGTTAGTCAACTGTGTCTGTTATCAGTAAGGCTTCCAGTCAACAGTAAGTTATTAGTAGTTAGCTTTTGGGAGAATCAGAAGTTCTACGCAGAATTTTTTGCTGGGTTGGAGGGTCATCAGCACGCTGTTCAAGGGGGTGCTGGGTATTTAAGCCCTGGGTATTTCTTGGGCCTGTACTATTATATTAGGAACTATAATGGAGCTGATGCAATAGTACACAAAACAAGCAAAGATCTCTGCTCTTGGGGAGCATACAACTCATGGAGAGTGACAGTATCAGCTCTGCAGCTGAAAGCAGCCCCCCCAAAGTATGTTGCAGAGCAGATCCCGTAAGAACAATGAAGCCATTACTCAGCTGTCCCTGGACGCTGCGCAGCCAGTTCCCTCTCTGCCACGGTGGTCCTGGGAGCTCTGGCTACCAGCACTACCACCCTCAGCACCAGAGGAGGTGCTACGGCATCATCCTGCTGTAGCGCACCCGTTCCAGGCAAAGCCTAGGGTGAGTGTTTCTGGCAGGTGGAGCCGAGGCTGTGGGCTCACACCCTCCCTTTGGCAAGTGAGGCATCTATCATGCGAAGGCTCTGACCCTGCAACCCTTGTGGGTCGATGGACGTGGTATTCAGATGCTGAAAATAAATAGAGAGGGATGATAAGAATTTTAAGACTGGAATAGAGGGGCAGCTCCGGAGGCGCAGCGGTTTAGGGCCGCCTGCAGCCCAGGGCGTGATCCTGGAGTCCCGGGGTCGAGTCCCACGTCGGGCTCCCTGCATGGAGCCTGCTTCTCCCTCTGCCTGTGTCTCTGCCCCCCCCCTCTCTGCATCCTTATGAATAAATAAATAAAATCTTAAAAAAAAAAGACTGGAATAGAGTTCCTGGGACACTTCAAGGACAAGATGGAAGATAAGACTTGAAGGATGGTGGGAAGGAAGGAAGGAAGGCAAGTAGTTGTGACAAACATCTTAGTGCTCTGCCTCTAAGAGGGAAGTCGAGAGAGGGAGCAAAGTTCCTGGCCGGTGAGTGCTGGGCTTGTGACTGAAGAGTCGAGGAGAAAGCTAAATCGGACAGGTGGTGGACAGGTGGTCGGGCTAGGCCAGGAAAGCTCTTGGAAGCCAAGCAGGAAGGTGGGGCTTTAGACCCAGGCCATGTGGAGACTCAGGGGTTCTTGACCAGCAGAGGGACACTTGGTCCCTCATGTCTAAGACTATTTCATTCATTCATTTACCAAAATCTCTGTGTGTAAGGTAATAGGAATAGAATGGTGAACAAGAGGAGGTGCAGTCCCTCAGGCCACTTCCACGGTGGCAGCAAAGACAACAGCAGACAAGCCAATAACAGTATATAGCGTGAGAGCGGCCTAAGGAAGCCCTGGGAGCTTTCACGCGCGGCCACTCCGCGCCAGCTGTTGGGGTGGAGGAAGCTTCCTGAGGAACGCGAGATTAAACTGAGACCTGGAATATTCCAGCCAGGAGAAATAGCAAACCACGTGGACCCTCACACTTCAAAGCTCACCGCGAAGTTCCATAAATGAGACACAGGTTATTAGTATTGTGTTTAAGAACATGCACTATTGAGCTCAGACCATCAGCTTCACCTGAGCTGTAATTGCCAC